ACACTCGACGGAACCATCGAGAAACGAAGACTTTAGCATGGCAGACATAGAAAAGGACAACGGGAATGAAGGGAAAAGAAAGACTGATTTAAGCTTCAGATCTTTAACTCAAAAATCAAACTCTTTTACTTTTGCCTTTTGATGAATGCAACTTTCATCATCGCGTTTATGTTTTTCTGATATATATGACGCCAAACATGATAGAGTTACGGTCATAATTGCTGGTATAATAAACGACTGTAGTTTTGGATATAGAACAGGATTGCGAATAGAAAAGAAAGAGGCGTTGAAATCGTCGAGTTCGACAATAGTTGGATCATGTTGCAGCTTTTAACCGCGGCTGGTCATCGAGGGCTATGGTGTGTTGAAAGGAACCTGGTGGGCATATGGTGGGGATGGCGACGTTGTAATTATGAAGAGGTTTCCGATGTTGCAATTATCCAATGTGTATTGTAAATACATTATGCGGCAAACGCGTCGCGGAAAGGATTCGCGACAAGTAACGGAAAAGTTGTTCGGCGTAAACGCGTTGCAGTTTCCGAGACAGTGGCCCTCGTACTATCGTAACGGTCATTAAAACTTGCACGCGCTTTTATGCGATGGTGAGACATGATAACAGAACTGCACCGCCGCGATCTCTTTCTGTTCGAGGACACGTTTATGTGCGGAAGACGAGGTACGAGGCGCCACGTCTCCTCGGCTATTCGATTCTGGTCGCTATTCGGTATTGGGAACAATGGATCTACTGGCTGCTTCACCGCGAGATAGTAATTTTGGGGATTGCGCTGAGGGTATGAAGATATACGGAATATATCAACATTCCAAACTAGTTTCGATTATGACGCGTGTTAATGGATTGCGAAGACAAAGGGAATAGTATGAGTGGCTCAGAATAATAGTGATGTAACTCTTACTTCTGAATTCTGGACAGTGTATAGAATAATCAGATTTTGTAAATTGTTTCTGGATTATTATAATGGATAATCATAATTATTATACATCAAATCAAATAATTAATTATTGTAACATCAAAACTACTGGACAGTAAGGATTTAAGTATTTAAACTATTAAAGTGTTTTTGCGAAAGATTTTCAATTGAATTTGTATATCTGTACAAACACAAGACTAGGAGACCTTTTGAATCTCAAGAAACCTATTATTCTAATTTTAATAAAAACTTGGAAATAAGTCACTTTAATTGGTCAGTAATTTTAGTGTTAAACCTAGTGTTAAGAGATCTGTCAGTTGCACGTGAATAATTTTCTAAAATGACACAGGAGGAGTCTGACGATGAAAATCCTCGAGGATGATTGATCAATGGCGGAATTACAGGCGCGCGGCTAAGAAAAATGCTTTCCGTGTCTGTTGAACGGTATCGACATTTCCAGGGCTCGTGGCACATATTGGTCGAGTTTTCTGCCTCTTGGGATTCAGATCTTTTCCCCGGAAGATTACACCGAGCGCCGTTACACAGACCGTCGGTTCTATTGCACAGTGTAAACTCGATAATGGGAACTAATTAAAACAAGACGTGCGTTGTTAATTAAAGCAAGAATTGCTTGTGTTACTATTGCTTATTGCCGGCGCATTCCAATTCTCGAGGTTTGCGCAAGAGATTCCGGTGTGCGGTGGAATTACCGGCTTAAGTTAAAAACAGTAGAAACTGTTTTATGGTGTAACCGAGAAGAAGAAATTCTCAATTTAAAGGTACAGGGTGTTTCACTGAGCAGGCTCGTGCTATGATTACATCGTGACCCTCGCATCCATTTCTTTTTAATGGAACAGTGTGCATTTTTGTATGCCAGTTAATTGTAAGAATATTTGTTATATTTTACAAACAAATTATTAATTAATAATATATTATTAACAATGATTTATAACACTTTGTAATGAAATTATTAGGTTCTAGTTGAAACTCGATTTTAAATGATTACATAAAAATCATCTGTGCTTTAATGTTTCTTCTCTGAACACTTCAGTTTGTTTGAAACTAATCGATATTTTAAAAAAGTAAGAGACTCGACTGATAAGTAATACACGGCAGCTTTTAAGTAAACAATTACAGAACATACAGAACTGTATAAAAAACTTTTTACGCTTTGAGAGAAATACAAAGTTTTAAGTTGTGGTTGTGTTTCAAATAGTAGAACTATAGTCCAATTTATGAAAAAATTATGTATTTACTTTTCAAGGTAATCAAGATTAATCTTGTTTTTCTTAATGTTGCTAATAGAATTATTTTGTTGCTAATGATTTGTTGGAGCAGAAAATTGTACGAAAAGTGGTTGTCAAATGGCATTTAAAATCTGTAAAAGTCATTCAACCTTAATATATATATTATTGAAGATGTAAATCTACTTTCTGTTGCATATCTATTAACCAGAAATGTAAATCCTGCTTATTCTTCTTTTACGTTGGTTTTAATAGTTTAAATGTCCTTAAGCATTCTCAAGCCAAAAATTATAATGATACAAACCGCAGTTGAGATCATTAGGTGTGAAATTATTTAAAATATATTTACTCTGCAAGCATAAACACGCGAATATTGATGTTTGTTATATTTGGGGTTAAAATATATGAAAAAATAATTTCGAATAAATCAATATGAACCGACTGAAATATTTGTATTATGTTTACTTATTAAAATGTTTCCTGTAGTCAAATATTTTTGTACAAAATTTTCATTGATTTTATAATGCTGACTTTTCTTCTCTTTCCTTTTAGATCCACGAATTCCTCTTCTTATAAAAATGTCAATAACATAAAATATGTCTCTAAGATTTGGAAATAAATTATTCGTTGAAAGTGTCCATGATTGAAGAAGAATAAAACGCATTTTCTAGGTGATTCTCTACAACTTCGCTTTGAAGGTGTTAGGCACGAATAATATTTCACATTTAGTTTTGCCTCTCGAGCGACACGTTTCCTGCATTTTCATCCTGCTCGCTTATTTTCATTCTAAATCATCGGGATGATTCATAACTGACAGACCCAGCCCCGTCTTTCGACGTAACGCGATTTTCGATCCTGCTGGAAATGGAAAATATAGAAGTTGGACGGCCATGATATTTCAACGCTTGTCCGCTTCAATGAAAATTAAATTCCTCTTACTGGTGAACTACATGAACAAATTAATATTTTCTCTCGAATACGGAAGAAAAATATAGAAATTTTAAGTTTGAGTTATTCTGAAAATTGTATAATTTCAATATTTACTAAAAGATTCGAATAAACTAATAGGTACTCAGTTTTAATTGATAGTAAATACATAATCTAATATATAGGCAATTAATTTTTTACAAAAGTTAATGAAGAATTGTAATTAATAGTTTCTATAGTATCAAAAGAAAGGTAAATGAATATTTTGAATTTAATTTAATGTGTTAAGAGAAAAACATTCTGAAAAAAACTATTACTATGATTTCACGAGTTGATAGGAATTGAAAAGGCTAAGGCTTTTTTCGAAAAGTATTGTTTAATTTAAACATAGTGATTACGAATTTGCTGACTTGTTTATAATCTACACACTGTAGATTATATATTATTGTACATACAGATATTATGATTAACGTTAGATGGTATAATTTATACTTTCTTATTACGCGTACAATTGACATATATCGATGTTCACATCTTTTGCCATATCCAATTGTTGTATCATAATCGCTGTCTTCAGTAATTATATGACTGTACATGTAATAACGATTTAAGTTAAAAATTTCTTGATACTATTGTAATATACTGATATATTCTGTTATTGATAACATTCTGATAATGTCAATATTCATGAACATAACATCAATATCAATAGCAGCATCCCTATTTAAAAATTCTCCACAGACTCCCTCTTTGAATTACATTTTCCACGTTGACACAAACTCCTCCACATCAATTCTGCTTCCAAAATTAAATATAATAACATTCACATTCTAAGAAAACTTTCAAGGCCTCTCTCCTTCTTCCCAAAAAGAGAAATGGAAACTCTTTCCTGGTATTATACCAGTAGTTTCTATATATCAATACCTAACTTTAAGAAAAAACTTTCCAGACATCCCTGTTGCCAATAAAGGAAGAAAAAGCAATTAAAGCAAACATTTCAGCGATTTGCAAGATTATGACAGACATAAAATCCCTGGAACGAAGAGACCTGGGGTGGTAAGCAGGGGGTGTCCCCCGCGTTAACCGTCCCCTATTAAAGCGAAGAATAAAATCGTTTCTCGGTTGAAAGTGGCCGTGTAATCGCGGGCCCCGCAGCGACTGAACAAGTACTCCGGCTCCGTCGGAGCCGAAAAATAGCTTACCGGCGAGCGTCGCATCGATATAACACCGAACGCCTCAA